TATGTGTTTTTTATTATACAGCTGCAGTGGAATTTGTCAGAACAAATTAACCTAGAAGGAATAATTGAGTGCATGTGTGGCTCAGACAGAAAGAGAGAAAAACAATCACTCACAGAGATGCTGGGCAGTCTGGTTCGCCCTCCACTGTAACAATCCTCCGTCTGTGGTGCAAAGATATCCTGGAGCTCCTCGGCCCAACTGCGGCTGTTTACCATGCTGCCTCTTAGTGTGTCACAGTTGCCATCTTCTCCACATTCCTCCCACCAAAGGCCTGTTGTGGCCTTTCTCCTGACTACCTCTTCCTCCTCTTCCTCATCCATGTCCACATCATTGTCCCCCATAAAGACTCGCTGTATGGAGAGGGTGGAGCAAATGTCAGGGTTGGGGGAGGGACTAAGTGCCCTGGCTGGGAATATGGCCACAGATGGAGTGAAGATATTCAGAGAAGGGTTACAGATCTCTGACTGAAATCAAACGCTTAAAGGCTGGATGTTTCAATGTCTTTGATCTCCATGGTACATCTATGTCTCCTGTGATCTTACAGAAAAAAACAAATCGATCAATGTAATGGCCTTAAAAATGTAATTATAGCATTATTATTTGCCATATAATACTTTCATCTACTTTGTCTAGTCTGATCAAACTACTTTCATCTTTAGTATGTACTCTTTATGAACAGAAGTCACACAAATTACATAACATTGACATACATGTTAAATGTAAAGCACACATACATAAGATGATGTTCCTTCCTAAATTCAAATCATAAATAAAATACTCACCTTCATTGTGTGCGACCAATTCTTAAGATACTTGAAATAACAATTCAAAAGCAGCAATCACAACATTCAGACAAGTGCAGCGTTGCATCAATAACGATTGCTTTTCCCATGCTGAACAGAGAATATATGAATTTGAGTGTTCCTTGCTCCTTTTCCAAATAGTTTAGTCCTTAGCTCAGATTATTCCAACCAGATATCCCTCAAGAATTGTGCTAAACTATCAGGGAGAAATACAGATGTGCATCCTTGCTTAGAAAGAGTAGCGTTACATGCCTCTGCTGTCACGTGTGGCTTATTTTCAGTGATGTGTGTAAATGTGTGTGTGTCCAACATCACGAGGTGCCCAGAGGAGAGAGCATTGTGTGGAAATATATAGGAACAGACAGAATGGGGTGTGTGCCCAAGCTGTATGAATGTACATAGGTATGAGGGGATTTTCAAAGAAAAACTAAATGTAGAGACTAACATCTGAAGTAGAAAAATGCTTAGTTTTTAATAAAGATTTCTGCAGCACTATGCCACATTTATCAGGCTTAACCAATATTCCTTTAATGAAGCTTTCCAAGCAGTTCCTACCATGATGCTCCTTGTGTACCCAACTATAAAGTGATCCATTCTCCTAGTCTAAATGTTAAAGCTAAATAGATAAGATAGTTGTAAGATCTGCAGAAGACACTGCAAAACAGTTTGTGAAGACTAGCTTCTAAGGGCAACAGATTGCTTTTGTTTCAAACTGCTACCGTTTGCCCAGAACCTATACCATGTATTTGTCTTAAGGCAGACTGGGCATAACACCAGTTGTGACAATTGCCGTTTTAGGTGCAAGTTACTTGGTAAGGTATGATTAGCAACCTGTAGGTTTTTTTTACCCCTAGTCTGCACAGACTTTAAAGGCAATTAGCACCTTGCCAAGAACATGGTACGAAACCAAAAAAAGCCACTCAGGTTAACGGTTTCCTGTAACCCATGCAAAACATGAGTCAAATGTCTTTATAAGAAAAATACACACCCAGGACATGCCAGTTGGTTTTAGCACCCCAGTACAAAAGGACATATTACAGATGAATCATGAATGACAAGGTTAACATTTAAACTGGTTTATTCAATGGTCAGTATTGCAGGACACTTAGTTATTGCTTGGTGTTTGCCAAGGCACAC